AAAAAAAAAATTGTAATCAAGGAAATGGATTGGAAGACCTCTTAATGTAGGGATCTTTATATACAATCAAAAGGTAGGATAAAATGTATTACAAAAGCTTGTGATTTCAATATTTATTCATTTATTATGAGCCACCTCTGGGTTAGAACGGTTGGGTGTTCACAGCTGGTAGAGTTCTCCTTTTCAAATACTTCAGAAGTTCTTAGGACACCAAACAGGAGCCACAATGTTAGACTTCAGAATAGTCCCCCTATAAGTGAAATGTATAAGGCTCTCCTCAGGTTGGGTTTGTTGTTAATCCAAGATGAAGAGTCCAGTTCATAGACTGCCACTGAAGGATGTAAGACCCCTCACTGACTCCCTTGGTCAGAGCTTCATTAATTCTTTGTTGGACTGTCAACCCTGCACCTGGGAGGCAGGCACTGGAGACGTGAAAGTGACTTAGTCCCTGTTCTTAAGGAGCCCCCATAAGGGAAGAGTGCAGGAAACCTACAAGGTGTCTGCATAAAGACAAGGTTTTAAATACTGAATTCCAAGCCTAGCTCTGCTCTGGGTAGCTCATCTCATCTAACCATTCCAGCTTGCCTGATTGAGAACTTCTCCACTCAAAACCTTCAGTGGTTTCCTGTTACTTCCTGTATTAAAATAAACTTCTTTAGGCTAACTTTCAAAATTATCCACAATAGGACCCAATTTGTTTCTAGCCTAACTACTACCTAGTTTCCTACACCCTTCAAAGATCCACCCAAAATTTAGATTCCCACCCATGGGATCTTATAGGGTGTATACATGTGTACACATGACACTCATACTGTACTCTGTACTCCAATTCCATCCTTGTACCAGATTTATTCTTCTTGATGGTGAATCATGCCTTAACTTCTTCTCACAATAACTGTGCTTTCAAATGGTCAAGACTTTAAAGTTAGAGAGCATGCATTTTTATGTTTTTCATTTCTTTTCTTTTCTTCTATTATTTTATTTTAAGGTGCAGTGTGGAAGGATAATTCTCAAGTGGTTTTCCAATAAAAATTATGTCAGAGGGATGCCAATTAGTTTGCAACATGAGCATTATTTGAAATGCATAAAACCTTTCTGTATAAATTTGGGTGGAGTGACAGCATTGGAAACCACTAGTAAAGTCTAGGTAACTTAGATTTCTTTCTTTCTTCACATCTCCCAGAGCAATTGTTCGGAAAGTTGAACATTTTTAAACTTGGTGGTTTTACAAAATAGAGATAAATCTATTTTGTGACCTATGAATATGGAGTCAGTATGTAAGAACATATTGCCAAAGTCTAACCAGCCTATAATTAGCCCTAGCAGCTTTCTCTAACTTATCAGATACCACCTATTTTGATGGTATTTATTACTTTTATTTACTGATAGTTTAACTAAAACTTGCATTTCTATGAATCAAAAATTCTTAGACTGCATGAAGTCTAATAAAAACGAAACTCAGGATTACTCATATTGTTCTTTACTTCCTTTTTCAGAATTTTCTGGAAGTCTGCTAAAGCAGATTAAACTGTCAATGCCTCCTTGCCCATCCTACTGGATTTCCACTTCATACTTTGAGTGCTTTGCTCTCTTTCAATATACTTATTTGAATGCCTATTATACTTGGAAAGTAGGTCATTTAGATATTGACTGACTTAAGGAAGGGGGCTACTGATGCAGGAGAGGGCAAAGTTGTCCAGGAATCAAAAGGATTTCAGAGCTAGGATGGACCTTTAGGGTCATCTAATCTAGTACGTCAAAACGTTTATCCTTAAAAGGATAAGAAACATGAAGAATAAAAGTGAGTCAGGACTTGCTGCTTTAACAGAACAGTAAACAAACTTCTCTATGGTCAGCTATTTCAGGGCCTTTAAAATGCTACCAGGTGTTGTGATTCTCATATCGTTGGGGGCAGAGGGAGTGCATGCTCTCTCCCCACCTCATCTGACCCAGGTGTTTTATGCAGTGGGGTTTCACAGGCCTAGAGTTCCCTAAAATACTCTGGGAAGTGAGAATCTTACCCAGTCCTTGATCTGCTGCTTGAATTCCTGTGACCTTCTTGGGCATGTCGCCTTGCTTGTTAAGTTCCTGATAGAAGGCTAGACATTTCCCCCATATTCTAGATTAATTCTCTTTTTGTTTAGCTATTGCCTTCTTATCCTTCACGTTCAAGTCTAGAAACTCACTTCCTCAGAAGCATTCTCCGAACCTCTAAACTAGTAAATGCCCTGTAATTAACATTAATTAATAGGCTTTGTGATTAGGTTTAATGTCGGCCTTCCTGTTAGACAGTAAACTCCATGATGTCTTTGTTGTGCATCTTGTCCACTATTGTGTCTTGCAAAATAGCAGGTACTTAAGAAACTGTTACATAAATAACAGAAATTGCAAGAAGTTATTCAAAATTAGATGGATATCTTCATTTGAGGCCTGTGTTGGAAGGCCTGAATACTAAGGTGTTTCAAGCCTTGAACCTGAACTTCTTTCCTGGGTAAATGAGATTTTTTACTAACCGTCATTTCCTTATCTGTAAAAGAAAATATTGCTCTATTTTCAATATTGATTGATTAGAGATAAAACAATATTGAGAAGACTTGATATACTATAATATGCCATAAGGAATGAGCAATTTTCTAACAGGGACTGACTTTGTTTAAACATAACTGAACCTCTTGTTTGTATTAAGTCTTATTCTATACCAAGCTTATGCTGCTAAATTGCAACAGAAAGAGTGGGGAAAAAAGCGAAGAGGCCAGGAGGCTTTATGATTAATTATCTAACAATCATACTTCCTTCAAGTAGGCTTATGCCACGGATAATTATCCAGCTCCTCCTTTTGATCCTAAGCAATACTAAGAAGGACTACATTGCCTGACCTATTGCTCAGATTTAACCTCTATGTAATATTAGTATATCTGAATTAGTGCTAATAGATTCCCATGGTGACTTAAGATTCAAATTATTCTAGTAGCCATTTACACTTCATGTATAACCTTCCAAGTTTCAATGAGATGCTCAAGATTTCTGGTTAGTTGTCAATGTGAGTTATAGATGTCATTTCCATTACACTGCAAATTTAAAAACAAGCACTTACTGTTGGACTATTTAGGTCAGGAGGTGTAGACATGTCTCCAAACAAATCCATCTGGTCAACACCCTTAAAAAAGTATTTGGATTAGATTCAGATGTGTCCACTAAAAAAGACTACTTTGTAAATTGTTTTAATTGTTTGTTTCTTACACTAAAATTTAGGAAAATAGTTGTCACAATTGGATTTTCATTTAACTAATATAGATTTCATATTAAGCTATTTAGGTCAGGAAGGGTAGACATGTCCCCAAACAAATCCATCTGGTTCACACCCTTAAAAACAGTATTTGGATTAAATTCAGGTGTATCTACTAAAAAGATTATTTTGTATATTGACATGAATGTTACAGTAATGTTTAGGAAACTAGTTATCTCATTTAGATTTTAATACAGATTCAACATAGATTTGGTATTAACGACATCTACAGAAAGTAGAACCCATGTTCCTGTAAGTAAGAATCATACAACATCATCAACAATACATACCAATTTCAGTTTGCTGGACTGGTCATCAATAGTCAATAAGGACTCACTCCCATTCTGAAAAGATGGCAAATATTTAAGGGTTTAGCTGATGAGTTTTTTCCTACAGAAGTTATTTTCCTACTGTATTGCTAAGCAGTTATAATTTTAGCATTGATCATTTAACTATATAGAGAGGTCATAGATTTGTAATAAGCTAGGATGGTAGAGTGCTTGGGCAGGTAACAAACAAGGCCTTATATACATCACACACATAATTCACAAGAAATAAGGATGCAGTTTTACCTCTACTGCTTTGTTGGCTTCTTCCATCTACAAAGAAAGACACAAACTCAGTGACCTTCGTATTTGTAGTCAAAGGGAGTTACATAAAAGAACAAATATAATAGATGTATGGGTTCACAGGCATAAGGCAAGAAAGAGTCAAATTATTTCTGCCCTACATTCCCCTCCCCTTTTTGTATCAATACTAGATTTGAATAGAGTTGCTGGATTTAAACTTGGTTGTCCTGTATAGTTCTTGAATCAATATGAAGCTTGCAGGGAGAAAAAATAAGAGCCAGGTAGATCGCAAGTGCCTAATCATAAAATCCATCCATCACCCTATTGGGAAGAATGGGCAATAAATCTCTATACTTTCAAGAGTCATACAGAAGCCAGCTCTCCAGACAGACTACATGTATATGTAACGTTAAACAAAGTACTGAACATAGTCTTAAGTTCAATAGAGCCTTTATTAGGTAGTACTTGCCTTTTTCTTTTCTTCTTCCTTTTTCTTTACATTATAGATAACTTGAAAAAGGTCTTTAAGATCAACAACTAATGGCTCAGCCTGAAGCAAGAGAAAGCATCATTGAGTATTTTAATCTTAATATTTTCTCCCTTTTGTACCCCATCAGTTCTGATTCGTACCAGTTTTTCCTTTTTTCTCTAAAAGCTGTTTAACATCCTTCCCTGGTTTATAAGCAACCAGTACCACCCATATCAACACCCCCAGATACATAAATGACAGCAGGGTTAATAAGTATTTAGACAAAACAAGAGGTACCACAACCGTTTTTGAAGTCCCTGCAAGGTTTTGGGGAATAATTCACTATTGTTCTAAAATCAGCATTGACTTCATAAGAAAGTCCACTCACAAAATCCTGTGCCACATACTACATGGCTATCAATGACATTTTAAAAAGATTCCTTAGGCCGATAAAGACATTCTCTGAATCATTATTTAGCCCTCCTCCAATCGTTTCCAGCATGTCTTCTAGTAAAGTGACAGACACTCCTATGCTCAACAGAGGACAAGTCCCCAGGTACACCTTACGGCTTAGAGCTTACCTGTTGCCCTGTTTTTATGGCAAAAAACTGATGCTGGCCTTCTCCTCCACACACGTAACCAAATGCCCGGTTGTCTGTCACATCACGGGCAATAAAAGAAATCTTATTTACTGGATGTTCATGCTCTATTACCTTAAAAAGGAGCAGAAAGAATTATTTATTGAGAAAACAAGAATCTATTTGTAGGCTAGCACAGCTAAGCCGCAGACACATATATGAAGGCGTGTATGAAGCGGTTAAAACATCTGAAGAAAGACTTTTTAGTCTCTGATTGAAGGCTAGAGCTACATTTCTCCTTCTTAGGCTCTGAAAGGAAGAAAGAAGAGGAAAGTGGGGAAAATGTTCCTTCTTAAAATACTGATATTTGATTCTCCCTACACCGAAGATATGATTCCACATAGCAAGCAAGAACTGAAGATTAGGAAACCAAGAATTTCTAAAGCAAAAAGGGAGCATGTAACCCTTAAATCAACCCGAATAGGTCTACTTTTGCAACTCAAAGATAAACTAAAGCGAACAGAGTAACTAAACTAGACGAGTGTTCACAGGGAACCTTTGATGACAGCTCAGGGTGCCCAAGGAACCGTCCCATATATTATTGCAACAAGTATCCCCAATATATTCTGAAAGTTACCAAATGCTGTAATCAAGTATTTCTCATCTTCACCTAAAAGGTCCATGTCATTATCCAGGAGGTACATGTGGCAGGGAGTTTGTTTGTTTGTTTATTTTTCTTTCTTTTTAAATTTGTAATTATTTATTTATTTTGGCAGGGAGTTTATTGGCTTAGTAGTGTCTTTCCCCCTATTTGCCCCCCCTTCTCTTGTCCTTTTCAAGCAGGTAACAGGGTTCAACTTTTCAGGGATATTTGCAGATGGCAGCATGTGTCTTAGCTCTTGTTTCCAAATGTCTAAGAACACTGAAAATTTTATGTTGAGTATCTTAGAAGGTTTGAGGAGAGAAAACGCTTAGGAGAGAAACCTGCCACCATTCTCTGATGGGCTTGGAAAAGTAAGAGTTGAAAAATGAGGGGGAATGGAGGCAGCCATTCCTGAGGACCTGAGGGCCAGCAGGCCGTGAGCAAGCACCAGGGCCACCGCCCTAGGTCTGCGGGTGGGTTTTGTATATTAGGTAATGGGTATCTCCAGGAAGAAGTGAATTGGAACTGGGGGACTCGCCATAGTACCTTGATACATAGAGAATTTTAGAGCAATAAAAATGAGCTACAAAGAACCTTTCAAGTGGATGAATCTTATGATGTTTAGTTGGAAAAAAAGTCTCTGAAGACTTGAACAAAGCTCAAAAACAAAACAATAAAATAGGTGAGACTGGTCATATGGGAGAGAACAATAGCAACCACAAAATATGAGCAAGGTTGCATCTGTGGTGTGAGGAAGAAGGAAAAAGAGAGATGAGAAAAATAAAGCTAAATGTGCTATGGGTAATTTTCTAGCTTTAGGTTAGTGGTAAGTTCATATGTAATCGATATATTAAAATATAACAAGACCCATGCATAGGCTTATGGAAGCGTCACAAATTAGGGGTTAGGATTAATCTAGTTCTGTATACCCGAGATCTAAAAAAAACAAAAAACAAAAAAACAAAAACCAAGTGATATTTATAGCATACTGTATTTATAGACTTAGATTCACATCTGTTAAAGGAAATGAATTTCAAAATAAAGTATCTTGACTCCTTACCTCCAATTCAATTTTCTACTTGTTACTTCTGGAGGAGTAATACATATTTTTTTTTCCCCTACAGAACTTTGAAAAGGAAAAAGGGGAGCTGAAATTCATGCAACAAATTGTCAGACTCAGGTGGTCAGACAGGTGTTGGTGAAAGTGAATTCTTACCCCAGTTTTCTCATCAATTATCTTTATCCCAGAAAGAGAAATGTTGACCCAGATCCGTTGTTTGTGTTGTCCCTGAGACCGACCAGCTGCTGCCATTCCCTAATGAGGTCAGGAAAACAAGAAAAATCGAATTAAGAGTACCCTATAATAATTCTAATACTAAAATTTTACAAGACAGTCAGCTTGGTTTTCAGCTTGGTTTAACATCTATGAAAGGAAAAGGCACCTTTTTTAAGAGAAAGCAGAATGAAATAGAAGTCATTGAGCCAGAACATCCTTTATTAGCTATGTGAACTTGGACAAGTCACTCTAAGTCTCTTTGCCTCAGTGTAGTCTTCGATAAAGGTAAGGGGACTAGGGGCTGACTGGTTAGTTCAGTTGATTAAAGCACGGTGTTATAACACCAAGGTCAAGGATTCAGATCTCTGAACCAGCCAGCTGCCAACAACAACAATAACAACAAAAAATAGGAGGTCTGGACTAGAAGATCTTTGAAGATGTTCCTTCCAGGCCTTATATTATTTAACAAGTATTATTTGTTTAGTTTGTGTCACATAGTATTTTAATTTGTGACACAGAATTTAAAAATTCATAAAAAGCACTAAAGGATACCAGTTTCCACATAGAGTCCAAAATTTTACCTGAACACTTCCCAGGTCTGAAATAGAGTATTCTGTGCTGTCTACATAAAGTAAGACAGATAATGCACACATTTGCAGGCAGCTTTTATAATTGTTAAATGAGGGAAATGGTAGAGACAGGCTTGGTTTGTCCAAACGTTGGGCCTGCCAAAATGGAAAGGCATCTAGGGCCTTGCTAAACTTGATTAAATTAGGTCTCTAGAACAGCACTCGAAATTTGCAAACTTATAGCTTCTCAGAAAATGAGAAACTATTGGATCAATTACGTAATTATAAAAGGTTTTCAAATAATTGAGATACAGGTAAGCAAGAACTTCTAATTTGCTTAAGATACAGACAATGCATGCTTTTTCCTCTTACCTTTAGTTTCATCATAGAATCTTGGCTCATTTTATCCCCTCTTGCATCTGGCACATCATCAATGCCAATTAGCTTGGCCTTGTATTTTACACCATCACCTTTAAACCTGGCCAAGAGATACTCATCTGTCTTTTCAGAGCCTGAGAAAAAAAGAAATACAAGATAAAGTTTACATTTAAATACTAGTCCTGGGTAGGACCAGATATGCTTCAGAATCTCCAAAATTTTAATATAAATCTTGATTATACTACACTTGATTATGCATGCAATATTCTACCCTGTCTTATTCTCACTTCAAGTAAAATCATGCTCCATAAATATTGTATATGGAGTAGGGGTGGAGAGAAAATAAACTCTCAGAGGTGCAAAACTGACTGAATTATGGAAAACTTATGGGAATATTTGAGGTGGGAGTTGGGAATAGTCTTCACTGTAGTTTTTATAAGACTTTTAAAAAATGTAAAGAGAATTTTTTTTAATGAAAGAAAAATAAGCCACCATACAATTTACTAACATTTTGAACTATAGATAAAGCAGAAAGGAATTATGGGTAAATTCCCTTGAAAATCATTAAAATAATAATCCCATTTTTATAACTTCTTTTGCTCTTCTTAAAAGGCTTATGCAGTCTCATTCCCAGAGCTAACACATTGTAGTGAAAAGCAAGCAAGTCACAGCATATTCTCAAGGTGTGAATGATTAAGGACTCTAGCACTTTCTAGTGGTACTTCAGGTCAACAAATGAGGGTCTAATAAAATAAAGATCTTAATTTTAAAAAAATGATTTCAAGAAAGCAAAATGGTAAGTAGAATACTGAAATATAGCCATATAGTAATTGATGGTTGTATTACTAACTGGACAAGATGCTATGACAGTTTCCCAGCAGGACCCAAGTTGATACAATGCAGACTCAGAGACATATCGTACTACACATGGAGTAAACCGATCTCTTCTAAGCACAACCTTCCTGTTTAGGAGAACTTGAGACTAAGCTGAGTTTGAAGCAAGGCAAGAGCCGGCTGCTACCTTACCCTGAATCTCACATTTCTCCAGAGGTAACCCCCGCTAGCTCTGTTCATTGGCCTCAAGAGGATTTCTCCATACCTTTCTTCTTTTCTTTCTTCGATGGTGCTTTTGATGTGGCCTGTTGATCAGGCTGACCATTGGTTGTGCTTGTTTCTACTTCGTTAGACATGACAAGATGGCAGGCAGCAAACCCCAGCACCAGCAGACACTTAGTGACACCAGGCAATCCCCGATGGAGAAGTCTCAAATGAACATAACCTACTGTAGACACCTGTAGGCAGAGTTGAGAGGCATAATGAGATCAGAACATGGCAAACCCAGACTTAATGCCATAAGAAGCCTGCAACTAGTGATTTTCTTTTGTGGTTCACTAGACTCATTTTGTTCCTTCTCCTCTGTTAGATTGCACTCTGAAAGCACGGGAGTGGGCAGCACTGTTTCCTTTGTAGTTTCCAAAATGGAAAAAGTATGCTTAATAGGTTTTTCTTTAAGCACTTGATATCTGGTAACATTTAATGATTATCCAGCAAAGAAGTTTGTATTGGAACTTTGGCATAAAAATCTAATATTAATGATAGAGGTCAAAAGCTTGCTAGGTTTCAAAGCAAAATAGAAATAAATTGAATGCTGAGCCTGATAAGATTGCAACTTGTGTCTGACACTTGGCATTATAAATTTTGGTTCTTCACAAAATCACTTAACTATAAAGGCAGTGGCAAGAATAGAGTTATGAATTTTATCTTACTCATATTGACAAATACTTTAAAAAATTAGGATTCTACATATGATCTCCAGGGCTACCCAAGTGCTATACTTTAGAAGTTGTCCATTTTTGACATTAAGACTTACATGTACCAGAGAAAGAATGAATTTATGGAGTTCCTATTGTTCGATTATGCTATTATTTAGCATTACCCTTCTCAAAATGGTTGTGTTATGTATTCTCATTAAAGCTCCCCTGTGTATCACAGTAGGTTAAAAAAAAAAAATCACAGTCATTATAAGCACACAGAAGTGAACTAATGTTTCAAAAGGTTCTTTCACCTCCCAGGAGTCAAAGTTTCTACACAGTTCCAGAAAAAACTGGAGCAAGAGGGTTAACTTTCTGCATGGACTGGTGACCGAAGGCAAAGAGAAGCCACTCACTGTTCTTTAATCCTGTGAAGCCCACCTGTGGGCTGGCATGCCCCTTCCACCAAAACAGCCCTCTTCATTCTGTGCCTATACCACCCATTTATTTAAGCTTTTTAATTGAAGGACCAAGCCCCCTGCATGGGAGTATATGCTGTATGCTAGATATTTAAAGAATAAAAAGTTAAGTCTCCAGTTTTCAGTCAGCTTAAATTGCACTTAGCTTGCTTCATAAAGGTAAACATGTTTTACTAGAGGTCAGTACTTAATTCCTACCCCTATGAGTTTTTAAATAGCCTTCAGTCTTAACCGTCTTTAAATATATATATACTCACACACATAAAATCTGCATATGATTAATGTTATCTGAATAGTTTCATTGGAGATTTAGTTGTTAATTTTGCTCAAAGACACCTCCCTGGGAGACAGTCTGTTTACAGATGAAAGTCTTAATAGTTGAAGACTCAAAGCTATACTGAAGACTTAGTTGGGGGCCAGTCACTATTAGCCTTTTACTTGTATTAACTAAAAAAAATTCATAGTAGATCCCAGGAGTCGTATCATACAGCATTATTTCATTTTCAAGAAGGAAAGCCAAGACACAGAGATTTTAAACTACACACCTGCTAAGTGGTAGAAACCAGGTTTTTAACCCAGACTGTCTGGCTCCAAGCCAGAGTTCTTCAACACTACAGTAAGGAATGTCATCTGAGAAGCTGTGTGCTAGCGATAGATAGTCTCTATTATACACATGTAGCAACCACTAAGAAGATATGTCCAAGTCCTAAACTTTGAATGTGACCTGATGTGGGAAAAGGGTCTTTGCAGTTGTAATTAAGTTAAGGATCTTGGGATATGATCATCCTAGATCTAGGGAAGCCCTAAAGCCAATGACAGATGTCCTTATAAAAAAATAGAGGGAGATTTGGGACACAGAGGCACACAGAGAAGATGATGTGAAGGCAGAAGTGGAGACTGGACTGACACATCTACAAAACACGGAAAGACAAGAATTGCCAACACGACCAGAAGTCAAGAGAGAGGCATGGAACAGGTTCTCTCTTAGAGCTTCCAGAAGGAACCAACCTTGCTGACATCCTAATTTTGGGCTTCTGGACTTTAGGACTGTGAGAGAATAAATTTCTGTTGCTTTAAGCCACCCAGTTTGTAGTAGTTTATTTCAGTAGCCCTGAAAAATAAATGCATCACCTGTATTTTGTATGCCTTGATCAATTTCAGTGGTTCTCAAGTTTGTTTCCTGGTGACATGATAAATAAATCTCCTACTCATACCTGCACTCTTCTAATTGAAGGCCAATAATTGCTTTCTCAATTTCAGAAAATGTATTCCAAATCAAGTGGATACTTACCCACGTTAACAGCATCAGAAAGGTAAGATTAAGCTGTGACCTAAGGAGACACATAGACATTCACCCTCCTGAGTCCTTCTCTTCTCCCCAGTGGGCCCTTTCCTTTATAAGTTGCTCAGACTTCATCTTGACAATAAGGAAAACAGTTTCGTGTGATTTTGTGGTCCTCTTATTATCATTTCATAATGATTTCAGGATTAAACACGTAAAACTGATAGCCTCCTACCTTCTGCTTTTTCATATTTCCTTCCCCTCAAAGGACTGCTCATCTCAACCGTAGTCTCAGAAAGTCAGCTTCAACTGCTGATGGATCTCCTGACCCAATCCAATTACTTTGCCTTCCATCCTTCCACATCCTACTGCATACGTCAGATACCTATACCTTTTTGCAAACCTCACCCCGACCCTCCAGCTTTTTGCTCCCATGACAACCATGAAGCTCCAGTCCATGGCTTGTGTTTGCTAAATTGGGACGATCTGGATTTTTTTTCTTTTTTTTTTTAATGAAGTTTCTCTAAAGAGTATTAGAATATAGTTGGAAGCTTTAATCCTGCTGTGGCTCCCCTTTGCATTTAGGACAAAGATTTAGACTTTTTTATTTTGTATGTGAAGCTCTTAGGTATTTTTGCCCTCCTTGCCTTCAACTTCATTTCCTGTATACAAACTCCTGTATACAAACCTCAAGTTCCCCATTTCTTTTAAAATGTTTTTTGTTTTTGACTCCTTACATTCTCATATTTGCAGAGCTCCCTTCCCCCATACCTTATCCATCCCAGTTACCTATTTATTTCTATAGACAGTAGGTAAAACCTCTCCCTGATGCTTTCCCCTCCTCCCCTCTAAACACACATGGCCATTGCATGGTTTTTTTTTTTTTTTTTTTTGTCTTTTGTCTTTTTCCGTGTCCGGCAACGGATCGCAACCCTCAGTGTTGCCCCCGTACCGGACCGGGGACCAGCAACGGGATCGCAACCCTCGGTGTTGCTCCCGTGCCTCGCTCAGCCAGTGAGCGGCAACCGGTCTGTATGTGGGATCCGAACCCTCAGGCGGGAGCGCCACCGCGCTTCCCAAGCAGCCACCGGGCCAGCCCCCCATTGCATGGTTTTCACACAAGTCTATTACTTGTCTGTCCACCAAGGACTATAACCTCCTTGAAGGTAGGAGACTCATCTCAGTGTCTGGCATATAGAAGCCATTCGTATGGGTGGTAATGAGGAAACATACTTTCTTCAATGCTTATTTATGTGTACAAATTTGCATGTATGACCTATTTTCTTATCTCTTCACCTTCCCTTTTAATATGAGCTTTTTTGGAAGTTAAAGGTAGAATTTCATCTTTAGGTAGCAGATTATTCAGTTGGGACTGTGACTCAATTGTAGGGGTGGATAATATAGCCCAAAACACTGTTTTCCAGAAATGGATGTAATAATGCCTGTTGGGACTTTGCAGCTTCCCAGTTTGGGGAAAGGGTGAGAACATCTTCCTTTAAATGAAGGATAGTTGCATCTTGTCAGATAGAAATGCTTGCTTTGTTGTAGGGGGAGCAGTTAAATGTGCAGAAGGGTGTGTGTGTGGATGCTGAGTAGCTAAAGGGATGGTCTGTGCTAGTTATTAAGTTGTCTCAGCTTCAAAGCCATGCTCCTGTACCTGGCTCTGTGACGCTGGGCCAGGCAGGGGCTGCAAACATTTCTGCTTTGCCAGCTGGCTGCATGTTAGCTCTGTCAATAGGGGGTGCTCGAGGGAGGCTGCCCAGCTGGATAAGGGACTTGCACAGTTCTGTCTTCACACGGACTTCCTCTCATCTCTTGTGAGTGTGACTGGCAGAGCTATAACAGCTGCTGGATCCAGCGTTCAGCATTTCCTATACTTACAGAACTAGCCTCCTGTGTCCCTCTTGGAGACACCAGCATCAGTTCTCGGTGCTCTCTCCAGCCCCTGGTGTCCCACGTCCTCAAAGGACAGGCACTCCAGCCCTAGCTGAGCAGCACTCCCTTCTCAGAGGTGCAGCCCCATGAGAACCTCTCCTTCAAGTTTATACGCTTTGATGATTCCAGTTTCTTTCCTTTGTCCTCTTAGCCCTAGGGGTGGTAGCTGCTTTCTGTAGTTTGCCTACCCAGCGATGATTTGGTGTTCTCTCTTTACCCTTTCAGTTATCTAGTTATCTATTTAGTTACCCTAAATGTGACAGATTCAAAGGTTTCATTTAAACATCAGTCCTTACGTGTTTTTAAAAACTTCTTTGTTTTGGCTTTCAAAGGTATATTTACGTACTTTGATACATCCACTTTTAATTTCCTATGCCAAGAACAAGAATTGTAAGAATGTATTTCAAAACAGAGCATATGCTATTCTCTTTATGGGAGGCCCCTGAATTATTTGTTGACTGTACCTTCAAGTCTCTGTTGCTTAGATCAGTGTTATGTTGAGTTCAACAATGTATGTGTTGATAGCAGAGGCAAGATGACCCAGAATTGGGTGGAATTACTGGCTGAAAACAGTAACCTGAGCATAAGAGTTTGTTGCCCATCTTTGAAGCCTGATATCATACTTTCCTGTAGGATATTACTACTGATAAGAAAGTACTGAGTTCATTAAATTTAGCAATTTTTATTCTAAATTGAGAATATCTTAAAGGAATTTGAGTAGTGTCATAAAACACTTTGTGGGGTGTGTGGGAGGGAATGCTGGCATGTGGGTTTAGTTGTAAAAGTAATACAAGACACTACAACCTCATAACCCCAAACCAGGCATCAAATCTAGTGTTGGCAGA